CTTATTAATACGTATTTAATATGGTAAAACAACTGTTGAAAAAGGTTTTTAAAATTGCGTAAAAAATATATTATGTTAATGATGATACATTTTCAGAAATATATTAAATAATTTGTGGTTTACAACAACAAATATGAAAATAATATTTCACTGTTATTACAGTATTGAAACAAGAAAGTATTTACCTCTTCGTCTAAATAATCCATATTGTTTGAATTGAAATAAATATTTGTATTTCTGAAATGCAGAAATTTGTTCTTACCGGTCACTAAATAAAAAAAAAACTTCAACTAATCAATAACAACCAAAGGTAAAACTATTCGAACCACAAACAACAAACGGAAAGATATAATAGAATATTTGTATCAACAATATAAATATTTTGAAACTAAAATATTTAGGTATCATATAGTTACTCTGAGCTAACCTTTTTTTTTAAATATATTTTAAATATCGATAACATAATCATTGATTTGATTAACAATTTACATTATTAACACTTATAAATAATTGTTGAAATATATGATAACTTACTGCCTGGCATGACTCTTAATTTTATAAATTTTATTAATTGTTATTATATATTTATTATTATTTAATTATTTATTATTTAATATGTAGGTATTTTATGCGATAAAATAAAATAAATGCAATATAAAATTATTTTAACCTATTTTTAAGGCTAATATATATATGTCGATGTTTTTATGGCGTGAATTTGATGTGTGATAAAATAAATAAGATAAAATTTTAATCGTAGTGGTTTGGGAAGTCGTGCGCTCCGATATACTTCGTTTAGGCATTTTGATTAATAATGTATTTTGAAAAAAAGATAAAGAATAAAAGATTAAAATATAATAATAGAGAAGTACGCGAGTAAACAAAAACTGTGCTACGACGACAACTGTTCACTAGCTGTCTCTAGTTGCTGCATGCCCACATTATAGACTGATTGGACGTCGGAGTGTAGGTACCGTTATGTACCGATGATTGTAATCTAGACTTTAAGGTCATATTTCAGAACTATGTAAAATTAGATTTATTCAATAATATTGTCGCAATCAGGGCCGGATTAATTTTATTTGTGATACCTACAGTGGTGTATACAAGGGGGTGACGTGGGGGTTAAATCCCCCCCCCATTAGCTTTTTATTATTTAATTATTTTTTGTGTTTCCTTATATTTTATAGTATGCACTATAAAAAAATATTTTGTGATGTGAATCTATCGAGCTATTGAATTTTGACAATTTAGTCAACACTGAAAACCATTATAATTTTATTTTCGTTTATTTATAGCAAAGTAATGTTTATTTGGTATTTTGGTCGAAATGCCAATGACGACTATGATTATACTTTATTATAGCTTATCTTATAATTTATAGAGACAATACTATGTATATAACAATAAGTATGTAACCTGGGCTTTAAAATATTATCGGATAATATCGTTGTTATGAGAAAAGAGAATGAGATCATTATCGTTACGGATTTAGTTCACCGCGTATACATAGTACATTCTATTTATTTATCTGAAACCTAAAAAAAAAGAAATTCACAGGATAATTGATAATCTATTGAACCTATCATGGATTCGTGGAGAAACATAGTTCATAATTAAACCCACATTTACAAAAATAGCAGTGCCGTCAGACGTCAGATTGTTCCTATTGTTAAATATTTTACTATCTAAAGTTTTTTAAAAAATTATAAAATAGTAAAAAAAATTTGAGAGGATGGGAGATTTTTTCAATTTTTCCATCCCATTTAGTTATGTCGTTTTCTTTTTTTGATCCCCCCCCTTTCAGAAATCATGTCTACGCCACTGGATACCTAATAAATAATTGAAAATAAAATTAATTTTTTTAAAGTGTATGAAAATTATGTGTAGGCCATTTGTATGAATGTGCTCACGGCCCTAAAAACTATAATCCGGCTCTGGTCGCAATCCTATCGTAAGCCGTTTCCGCGAACAACACCAAATATAGAACGTACACAATCAATATTATATCTATATATAGCTGTGTGTGACGTGTGTATGACTTAGGAAAACCAGACCACGAAATTATAGGTATACACGTACTATTTACGTAACAATACTTTAAAAATTATGATTTTAATCAAAATTTTTACGCGGGCCAACGGGTGGGTCAGAGGTGTCCAAGACGCCTAAAGGTACGTTTTCCCTGCAGCGTCCAAACGCAGAAAATCGAGCCGCCTAGACGCAGCGTCAAGACGCAACGTACGCCCGTTTTCTCTGCATGCGTCTAGACGCAGTAATTTTTGTATTTTTGATCAAATTACACTCATCGAAATTCAATCATAGTGCTTACGACCGTGATCTAATACACACGTAGGTTTCATCACCTTCATCATGATGCAACGACAATTAATTTTGAATAATAACCTTATGATTTGCGAGATTCTCAGACAAGAGGCAGCATTTGAAGATGAATTACTTTTAAGGATGATTCCTAAACCGAGAAATGCACCCAACAGCATAATAGTTACTAGGGAAACCGAAGGATTTTTTAAAAAACTAATTGAAAGACATCTTTTTAATAACGAAGTTAAATTTCGAGAATTTTTCCGTGTAAATAGGGAACAATTTAATTTCATTTTGTCACTTGGGTATCAACTAGTTATAGTTTGAAAATTATTAATTATTAAGATTCATAACAAAATTAACAAAATAAAAGTAATTTCCAATATATCGTAAATCTAATCGTAAAAATAAAAATAAAAATAATCAACTTCTAAAATGATTAAAAAAATATTATTAATTAATATTAATGATATCGAAAGAAAAAATTAGTTAATTGTCATCTTCATAATTATGCGTCTTGTATAGTTCAAATCCATGCGATGATGACGAAGTGGATGGCGATGGACTTGGTTGTGCCACGTGACTCTGTTGAGATGGAAATTGATAATCGAAATATTGGGGCTGATATACTTGAGGTTGTGGACCAACTTGTGGTTGAAAGTTAGAATATTTATCTTCCAAGTGGCTGACAAGAGTTAAGATTTGCAGCTTTGCTTCGTTTATGGCACGCGGTAGTAGTTTTTTTACCGACGTCGAAATACTTTTAAAAAACAGATCTACATTATCCTCATGCTGATTACCAATACTTGAGACTAAAATCTCATTTTGTGCCTGGATTTTGGATAATAAATTATCCGTTTCTTTTGATCTTTTTGATAATATTGCACTTATTTTATCCTCTTTGGACCTAATCCGTTTTCCTGCGTACGATGATATTGATGGTAAATCTGAACATGTATTTGGAGATTCGAATGTTTTCTCGTCGTTTAGCGTATGATTTTGTGTGTCATCTCCGTCTTCAGCAGTTGACAAAGAATTATCATTTTCTTGATTTTTGACGTTTGATGTAGTCCTTTAATTTTTAAACTTTAATTTCAGTACATTATTAATAATTAAAAAAAATATTTTCATTACTTTCTCTCGTATTCAACTGAATCCATAAACGATAAGTATGAGAGTGTCCTATTCACTTTTTCAGAAGTTGCTGAACCAGTCGATAGTTTTTTTTTCTGTTTCATATATGTATCTCTTATGTTCCTCCACCTTTTTTTGCAGTCTTCATCTATAAAAAATTAAACTATTTAGGTATACTACTATTAACTAATAAATAATTAATTATTAAACTATTTAAGTATTTAAACTTCCATAATTTAAAAGTTTATAATAATAACAATTATATAATCATAACTTGTATTTAAAATAAAGTAGTATTTAGTAATTACATTCAATAATATACATTCAATATGATTTTAGTGATCTAATTAATACATAATCAGACAATTATATTAAGTACGTACCTGTTCTACCGACTTTTTTCAGAAATAATTTTCCAAATTTTTTCTTTAAAATGAATATCTTTATGCTTAGGGTGAGCACTGTCAAAAATTTCCCTATTTTGTTGGACATATTCAATTAAAATTTCGTCCTCAGTCGATGAAAAAACAAATTTTTTCGACATTATCAAACTTTTGACGCAAGAGGTCCGTACGCGACACTAGTCCAGACTAATACTGCGTCCGGACGCACTGCGACATTTACCGACGCGCTGCGTTAAACGCAAGTAGGAAAACAGTCACAACTAAAATGCATGTACCTAGTAACAATGCGTCTGACGCTGCGTTTGGACGCTGCGTCTGGACGCTGCAGGGAAAACGTACCTTAAATAAGTAACAATATATCTCGTGCCTAACGAAGGGTTAAATATTATTTATATTATTATTAGATATTATATAATATTAATTTATGCAGTTACATAAATGTATAAAATATTTATATGTTTTTTTTATTTCTTACAAAATTCGCCACCCTAGGCCCGAGCCTCACGGGCCTAGGCATAAATACGGCCCTGGCCTTAGGGCATCACACATTTAAGGGTCCTGTGAAAACAGAAAACTATATTTGTTTTCACTTAATAATACCTGTATTTTATTTACGAATTTACGGGACAAAAGTCATTATGAAATATAATGTATATTAAATTGTAGATGTCATATGCAGTAATAATAATAAAATCATTTTGAAAAAAATAAAAATAATATAATAATTAATTAATTTTTCTTGCAAATATAAAAATTTAATAAACACGATTTTATTTATTAACAATAATTGGATATTATTAAAGCTGTTTATTTTAATTATTGGATAGTAATGTTAAAGATGTGTGCAAAAAAATAATTTTGTAGGGCCCAAAATTGTAATCGCCTAGGGGCCTACGAATGTTTAATCCGGCACTGAACACAGTACAATACCGACGTTCGTCCGAACATACCGAATTTAAATTATATTGTCACTGGTTAAAATACTGTAAACTCACCGATACGGCGATATCGCCGATTCGGGATCATGTGCGAACAGGTTACAATGTTTTCCAACCACAAAGTTCGGTCTCGTATTTTTATCTATGTAGTGAAATTTATAAATATAAAATGATAAAACGGTATCGCGTTCGCGGTAATCTTTCCCTTCCGTTTGTTCTGCTCGCCACGTAACTGCCATTTTAACTAACGTTATTCCCTGGCGCAGCCCGTCCGTAGTTGTCCTATCACTTTCACTGCGTTGTCTTTGTCGCACCGCACACGTTCTTCCGTCCGTCGCTATCGCGGAGCTTTGCACGCACACGTTCCGCGTCCCCGTAGTCGCAGAATACTCGTGACACATTTCGCAGACCAAGTCGTTGAACACGTGGGTTCGGTGCCGCGGAATGTTCGCGAACGCCGTTTCGTCGTCGAAGATGTCTGTGTGTTCTGTGGATGATATTTCATGGTTCACGAAACAGATAACCGTAAGTGACGACCAACCCTTTCTTCCTGACCCCGGACTGATATATGGAGGTGTCTATTGGCATTCGCCGGATGTGTCGTCGACAAGCGCGCCCTTTCTGCTCCGGTGGTTTACCTGTACTTTTTTTTTTTTTTTTGAACGAAGACATTCAAATTTACATACTTACGTAAATATAGCGATAGACTTAAAATAATCAATCATAATGGAAATACAACAATCCGATATCACATTCTTAAACAAGGGGCAATAAGTGTAAAAATAATCATTTAATAAACTTTCTGTTGAAATTCCAATAGGAACCTATACTTTTTTACCGTCTCAGTAAAAATGTATGTTCAACATAGGCGCAACTATGGGGGTGCTTGGGGGCGCTATAGTATCCCCAAGCTCTAATTTAACAACCCCAGTTAAAAAATTGGTAATTGAAAAATTGTGTGAGAAAATAACGTTTTTCTTATTTTATGTAGTTTAACTTAGTTCTATTTGATGTTTTTATCAGAAAGAAGAATTGTTCATGACTATTAGTTAATTACATTGTCAGAAATACTTGAAAAATATTCCACTAGTCATTGCAAGATAATATTAGTGTAGATATTATATACTTTATATATAATATATTTATAATACTTTTTTAATTTGTATATTTCTTAGAATTGTATGACCTAAATAAAATATTATATAATGAAATAAATAGGTATATTACAATTTATGCTTATTAATGTTTATAAATTAAAATATAAGTATATGTGTGTAGTTATGGTACATTTAATGATTACATTGCGATATGATACTTAGGGTTAGTAAGAGCTACGTAAATTCAGCATCCCCAATATTTAGGCTCTAGTTGCGCTTATGATGTTCAATATACTTAAAAATTAATTTATATTAATTAATACCTTACTTACATACTTACGTGTGTGTATTTAATCACGATTAGGATAGTTTACGTTCAATTATTAAAAAATATTCCATCTAGTACAATATATAAATAATGTAGATTTGTACTTACAGCGACCATTTGCATAAAATTTGCGTATACAGGAATTCTTTTAAATATATTTTATACATTTTGTGTTTAAAAATCATTTTTTAACACCCTGTACATAATTCAGATTGGTGGATTAAGTCTTGAAACCAAATCACAAAACTTAATTTTCAACAAATAATGACATATTAATGCAAATATTATACTTAAATATAATTAGAATTTTTGGACAAACTAGTTGATTATTCTGTATTGGGAGTTGAATTTATTCAATTTAAATTAATTTTGTAGATATACTTAATTATTTGACACGTATGCACATAGTTCTTAGTTGTTTCAAAATGATATGCATTCTTGTAAATTATACACTTACAATTAAAATTAGTTTAGTTAAGTTATAAGTTGAGTTTGGTTATTTAAGTTATAAGTTATATTAATTATAATAAATAGTATATCTTTTTTGTATCTAATTTTTTAAATATATATGTATTTTTTTTTCAATAGTCTTCCTGCTTATTGTATAAAGTGATATTTTAACTATTACCTAAATAAGAAATAATTAAATTTAAGATTAGTTGTATAATATTGTTTTATTGATTTTTAGAAGTTAAGATTAGATAAGAAAAAATGTCCCATAGCTAAAGTAAAGGAAATTATGGGTTTACTAAAAGCTGAAGTAGATTTTAAATTGATTTCTGCAAATCATTCTCAATCAGGTATAACTTATCTTGTTGAAATCGAAAGCAATGGATTAACTGGTGTGTAAAAATTTATTGTAAATTTAATAATTACAACATAGTTTAAAGTAATTTAATTGTTTTAGCTTATGGTAAAAGTGGTTCAAGTGCTTACGATGCACAAAAAAGTGCTGCATTTAACCTATTTGAAAAATTACATCATCAATATTGTACTATATCTTCCATTTTACATTCCGAAAAAAAGTATGTGGGTTTAACATACTTATATATTTTATTTATTTGTATATTGAATTAAAAAGTATATTTTTTCCAGTGAAAACTCTAAACAGACTGTACTCATTGAGAATAATAATGACAACAATTCCTTACTGGCTACAACTTTGGACAAAGGCTATTCATCTAAATTGATGTATATACATATTGGACATACTAAATTAAACAAATAATTATAATTTTTTTTTTTTTTAGTAAAGAACCTAAAGAGACAATTTTTGATATTAAATGCAACAGTTTAAGTATAGCATCTGGTTCAGATTTTTCATCTAACTTGTCATTGTATGTAAATGTAATGATAAATAATATAAATATTGACACTGTCTCAGGTAGATGGGTGATGTTATCATAAATTAAATGTGAAAAAGAAATTTATATGTGTGGGATGGAGCGCAGTTTTAACATGAATAGTATTATTATGAATTTTGGCATGTCACCACTGTGTCACCTAGTCTTATAATTTCACTTGCGATCTTACACCTGTGTAGATGGTAGTTATCTACAATTTATGCACAAATAGAAAATATTTTTTCTATTTATGTATATGGCAAAGGAGATATAGGTATTGTATTAATATTGATGAATTATTAATTCTGTTTTCAGGAAAAAATATAATAATAGAGATAATTATAATCATACGTACAACTCTACTTTATCTCCTACTTCATTAGATTCACCGTTAAGCGAATCACCGTAAGAATATACTTTGTTCTATTTATAACAAGGGTTAAGAAAACAAATATTTTATTTATAGTAAGAACAGTGACAAAAAAAATGCAGTTATAAATTACATTGATTTATTAAATGAGAAATGCTTGTATCATGATTGGAAGTTACCAAAGTACAATGTTTCTAAATTTAATTTTGATTTTTATGGTTCCCCTGAATCAACAGTGACATGCATTTTATTATCTTATGTAACTCAAGGTAAGCAATGTTTACAAAATATATTTAGCCACCAGATTTTTTTCATGAAAGATATTTTAATTTTTACTATTGTCATCATCAGATGTTGTTAGCACCCAAATCACTTGATTTAATTTGTATATGAAAACATAATGGTCCTATTACAGATTTTAAAAAAATATTGTTCAAAATCAAATACTTATAAATGAAATTGAATTATTTTTCATTGTTTTGCTATGTTTTTTTTTTTTTGTATAAAGATTTTTGATGGTTATTGTATTATGCTTTGACATTTTTTCGAGCAGGGAAAAGTATAACTGAACAAACAGCTAAAAACCAAGCTGCATTTAAAATGTATAATCAAATTAATCAACTTTATGGTGAAGATTGTGAAATAATTTCTGAAAACAAAACACCATTTGATTACTTTTTCAATGATATACAATTTCAAAACCTTAAGAAGGTTCTTTCAGTTAATACTTTAAAAGACTTGAAAATGTTTTTAGATCGTGGATATATGTGTAATGTAAGTTCAAATAATTTGAATGTAACATGTTAGACATTATTTAACTACATTAAAATTGGTTGTCAATTTTATTTTTTAATTTAATTTAGGATTCACATTCTTCACATTCATTTAAAAACGAAGCTGTTAATGTTTTAGAAAAAATTGCAAAAGCTGAACATTTTGCCTTGAAATATGTTGTCATTCTTCAAAAATCAGGTATATACCACATTTAACAAAAATAGTAAATATTTTATACTCTTTCCTCTTTTCCTAGATCAAGTCAATATAATGGTACAAATATTGATGAATCCTATTATTGTACATGTCGGTCATGGAACCACAAAGAATGAAGCACAAGGAAACGCTGCCTACACTAGTTTAGTCTACTTACATGCAAAATTCAATGACGCTATATGATCAGTGTTTTTGTGAATATAAAAATACTAATCATTTTAATGTATTAATGAATTTAATTTTATCAAATAGTTTACAGTTGAATTTCTTTTTTTTTTTAATAAAATGAATATTTTTATTATGTATCTGAACTTTTTTACTTTTAATATTTATTAATATTTATTTTAATACTTTATATATTTCAACTCATGATCATTACTTAAAAAACCCTTAACTTAAATTTGTCACTAAATTAAAAAAAATATTGTAATGTATAGTTGTATTATATTATAATTATTAATTATAGTAGTTGAAAATTGTTATAAGATGCATTTGAATCATAATTTGAATGTGAATAAATACAGATATATACTTTTGAGCGAAATCAAGTGTGTTCGCATTATTTGGTTGATCTATAAACATTGTTTGTATGCCATTTATTAACCTTCACTTCAATTTAACAATCTATCATCCATATATATGCTAAATTACATTTTTTGTCTTTATTAAAAAAAAAAATTACTTCTATGCAACAAAATGTCCTTACATACAATTATAATAATTTATATATAATTAATCTTAAATTATTTTTACATCTAAGTAAAATTTAATAAAAATTTACTTCTTTTTTTGTACCGAAGCTGAGGTTTTTATAGTGATATGCTATTAGTTTATAAAGCAATTAAATGCTTATGTGCATGCATCTTTCCAACAATTAGTGTATAATAAGTCCTGAACCCTATCATGATATACTGAATTTAAATTCGTACTCGTTTGGACCATAATGTGAAGGCATTTTAAGTGATAAAAACTGAAAAACTCTTGAATAGATTTTTTGTATATATGGTTATAAATACACAGACATATAATATATTATGTATGTATTAATACAAGTAGATTGAGCATTTTTAATGAAATTTTTTTTGTAATAATTTACTTATATGGCAAAATAGAAAAAAAGAAAAAAAATTAGGAAACAAGGGTTTTCTAATGTTCACCACAATTGGACAGTAAGATACAGCTGAAAGTACCTTTTTTTTCTTATTTATAAAATGTACACTAGTCTTAGTTACAATTTCGTTATTATTATTATTTTTAATCATCTAACCGTTTTGCTGCTGCGAGTCGTTGATTTCAATTCTATGTTTGTTTTGGTTTTCCAGATCTTCAAAAGATAAGGGACGGGTCGGATATTCCGAAGGGTCCCGTAGAGGGTAACTGCTTTTTGTTCGGTCGAGGGTTTTGAACGAAGAAAAATGTAGTGCCTTGCTGTCGTCTGTGCTACCTGGAGTTTTATTCTTGAACGTAATAAAATATTGTTAGTATACGAATCGTTCTATCGTCAACCGTTTTACTACCATCGTAAAATTGTATTCACCAACGCTGATAGAAATGTGGGTAATTGAACGGTTCGTGCACAAATATTATTTTCTATTACATGTGCGGCAATCACGTCATTTCATCTGTCGATTGATTTGCGCGCGCATAGGGAATTACGAATATAAAAATTAAACGATTTTTTGTTGTTGTATTGTTGAATTGTTTTGTCGGGTAATCCCATTATAATATTGTATTACTGAATTGATTAACTCCGTATGATCATATTTTCAAACGTATAGTGCACCGGTTCCCAAACTTTTACAATCACGGAATCCTTAAAAAATAGTTTGTGTTTCGCGGAACTCTAATTTCTTTAATTCCAATTCAACTCTAATTTTATTAAAAAAACAAAAATATGGGAAAACCAATACTTTAAAAAATGTTTTTAATGATACTGTTATTATTGTTAATAATTACTCTTTATTAAAATTAGTTTAAAACACAATTTTTTTTTAAATAATATGAAATAAAATTTTTTCCAAATATAATATAAAATAAGTTTCTCTATAATCACATACATCTGATGGAACCCTTAGCATTGTCCCACGGAACCCTAAGGTTCTGCGGAACACACTTTGAGAAACGCTGGTATAGTGCGCAAATTATATTATTCGTCCATGGTATGGTGTAAGTATATCGGTTTTATTTGTATTATAATTTCGAGATTATCAATGTATTTGTACCTAAAATGTACACCTATATATTATCTATAGACTATTATATATAGTCTATAGGCACATACAGAAATGTATAGTGGCGTAAAAATCGGTATTTTTTTATTTTTATTTTTTGTTGTATTATTCCATTTCATACCACGTAATATATCATCTGGGTACTTTGAAGTTTGAATAATACTGTTTGAGCTGTTTAATACTGTCTGTTTTGGTCCCGAAACCAAAATTGGTCGAGGTGATCGCTTTAACCGGTGCCGGATATAAAATATTAAGAACAAAGTGGACTGTATAAATTATAAAACCTTTATTATAATTGAAACGCGGCAACAACCAACGTATACAAAAAAAAAAAACCTAACACGACAGTAATAATATAATCGCACAACGGATTAAAATAAACTGTGTCTACCTGGTAATGGCAGAATTTAATGACAATGAATTTATAGTCGGTCGCCATCGGCTTAGAAGGCAGGTAGAACCCGGGGCGAATAGGGCTGCCGGGACACCTGGATTTTCTCGGTAGGCCGCTGCTTATATTGACGAAAATGGGTCGATGAAAAATATTATTAACTTACAAAATTGTTATTTTAAGAAAGAACGGAAATGTTTGACGAGATCGTAAGAATCTTTCACGCAGGATTTATTCTAAAGCGCAGTTGGAGTTATTTTGCGTATTTGGAAAAAGTAGATGCGCACTTGATAATAAACTTTTGTGTAATTGATTTTTAATTCAATTTTGTTTAGTGTTATTTTATACATTACATTATGATTTATAAACAAAGTAAAAAGGAAATTTATTAAAAATGTTTAAAAAAAAATACTTTGAACACGAATGTAAATTGTTTTATATCTTTTAAATACATTACATTTTAAATTACTTCACATATATATAAGCATACATATATATATAAGCTACACATTTTATCATTTTTAACTATAATTTGACAGTATATTTTGAGACCATAGTTCTATTTTGATAGGCTTATTTAAACAAAATGCGTAGTTGATAAAAATCCTTAGAATAATCCCTGCTTTCAAGACTATTATTCCAAAATATATACATCATTATCTTACTGTTTTTGTATATTATTATAGGCGTTGAAAACGTTTGCAGAACATTCAATCTTCCACGAAATTCTTAAAAAATTCCAAAACCTGCTCCTTTACTTATAGGATCGTCCGCTGTTGAATTAATTTCATCCCAAAAAATAATTTTATAAGCTATTTAAAGTTCTCGTTACACTCGTAATTGCTATACAATAAATAAATCGAAATAATAAACACAAAGCTAAACGGTAATCGAAATTAAAACATGACTTTCTAGGTATAACATTTTTGTCACACCTGTACTGACGTTCAGACGTATGATTGGAATCCCATAATGGTGGGCGGTAAAGTGGAATTCCCAAAAAGTGCGGGGTGAGGGAAAGTGGAAATCCCTATAACACCGTGTAATAAAGTGGAAATTTCCAAGAGCGCTGTCCGCGTATTCCCAGCACAAGCAAAAATTTAAATGTATACCACGGTCCGTACAAAACATAAACTTTCGATTAAATCTTATACACATATCACAACCTCCTTGCACGACGCATAAACATTTAAACATATGTCGTTTTCACTGTTCCCACACAAGTGCTTTGGACGTTACGGATAAATTTGTTTCGCGCGATTTATATAATAATTCGAATTAGAAAATGAGATCGTTCGCGCGAGTGTCACATCGCCGTTCAAATTATCCCATTTCGTGTTAACCGAAGAACCCGACAACGGTGTCGGTGTGTGATGTTCGAAAATTTTCGATCGGCACGTTATCGCGGTACGATTATTATCGATATTTGGACGCCGTTACTGCTGGGACTTTTTTCCGCCGACACTTTCTCTGCGAACGTCCGACTTGTCGTTTTTCCCGTGCCACCGGCTGTGTATTTTTTTGGTTGAGGCATAGTACGGTGGAGTCGCCATCTCCGTAGACAACTTCGTGTGTATGACGACTGTTCGAACCGTAGCTAACCCGTGTCCGCGAAATTTTCTTTCGGTTATCGTCGTGCGCGGAGAAGCAGCCAGTTATTGTAAATCGAGACCGACGTCGCTGATCAACCGATTCTTCTGCCGGTTGTGGCGTTCGTCGCACGTGTGAACACGGTCGCGTGGGCATAACCACTCGAACGCCAGACCGTCCAAGGTATCTTCCGTTATATTTCTTAAAAATATTTTATTTATTTTTATACGATTTGTCTTGTTATATTATCATAACGCGTTTGGAGCATATTTGATTTTATTTTTATTTTTAGATTTATCATATTTATTATTATGCAGGTATTATATGTTAATAATCGAATCATTCAATTATTATTTTTCGATTATCATAATAATCGAATTATTTTGATAATCGAAATAATGGAAACAGACATATTTACTAAAAGCAAATCAATTAAATTATTCGAAAAATTGTGTGTTTTACTCATTTCCCGTTGGGTACTAAATTAAGAAGTCGACTTTCCATTAATATTGTATTGTAATTGTTAAAAATAATAAAATTACTGAATTTAACTGAAACTACAGGTATCTATTTTTGATAAGGGGCCCAGGTCTTATAATTTTTGAGAGGGCCTATCGGGATTTTCCCGGTAGCCCATTGGGCCAGTGCGCGCCTGTATGAGCTCAATTTTTGTGGTATCGATATCACAAAAACTGTTTTATAAAGATCACATATATAGAAATATATAATATACCAAAAATAAAATTTATAAGGTTCGTGTAATAACGATTTTCATAAACTGGTGAGGAACTATTGTTTCCCAACTTTTAATAAAACGTGAACATGTATTTAAAAAAGAATATTATCTGATTTCTGAGTACAAAATAGTAAATAAAAATTTACTATTTAACAATTTTAGCATTTGATCATCGGACAAAGAATTGCCGACTTTAAAATTTCTTAGAATGGGGCATTTGCCATATTCTGCCTTCCTCAAATAACGCCCCTGGCGTGTATACTTCATTAATTCGATATAATACATTCGTAATAAGACATGAAGTGTAC